TACATAAAGCATCAACAAACTTTATGTTTTATTCAAATGTTACCCAACCATAAACAACTCATATAGGTTAAAAGGACGACTTGATAGTGACATATCATTAGTTAATACAATCATTATTTAGAAATCGATTTAGGGCTTCTTCATGATTGGACGACTGAAAATTATGAAAAACAATAGGGTAAATGTCCATAAGTAGCTTAATGAATGGAATTTGTGAAAAATGAAAGATGCATAATAGGTTGCAATCCATTCTAGTTTAGTCATGACATGTAACTAGGTAAGATACAAACAACAAATAGATTTCACTACACTATAAATTGATATAAATATTCATCAATATACTATTCTAGTCACACCACAGATTGGCATATACATTAAAAAAAAGTATATTGCTCAAGATTGTTATTGTGACTGTAACATCCCGGTATTCAGGTACTTCTAAATTCAACCCTAATGACAAAATTGTAATTTTGGACAAATGGGAGTAAGCCATGCGTACGTACGTATACTTAGCGTACTAGGGTGTGCCCTACTAAGTTGGGCGTACATCAACGTACACGAGGCGTACTTGCCAGGTGTGGAAACCCTAAATTTTAGGGTTAAGCCCCTATATAATCATCCTTATAGCCTCATTTCCCTTATCTCTTCAGCCTCCACTCTCCTTGATACGTTTTTGCAAACCCTAACCCTTGAGTGTGTGTTTTGAGCTTAAGTGTGTGTTCTTGGTGTGTTGAAGGAAGAAAGAGGATTCATTGAGGAGCCTTGGTGTGGAAGCAAGCTTGTAGATTTGAGATCTTTGCCTCTTTGGGAAGCTCCAGAAGGTATAAAGCTTTGATCTTGACTCGTATCTCCTTAAGATCTAGCCATGTGAAGTTTTATGAGTTTTTAGTCCCTTTTCTTAGACTTAATAAGTAAGAGCTACTCTAAGACCAAAGGAACTGTCCTTTCAAAAGATTTAGGTGTATTAAGTTGTAAAAATGTTATTTTGACTCATTTACTGCTTGCATGCAAGATATGGAGGTCTTAAGTGGTTAAGACAAACTAGGGTTTGGGTTTTGGGACTTATTAAGGCATGCATAACCATAAAGTTGGAAAATTTATGGTTAGGAGCACTTAATGGAGGTTGTGCATGGCCACTGCATAAGTTGGGCGTACCATGGCGTACGTCGGGCGTAGGTGGTCAACTACCCGTTTTTGGTCAAGGGCAGAGTACGCGAAGCGTAGAGGCTGAGTACGTAGGGCGTACTCAGCTGGGTTGACTTTTCGTTGATCGTTGACTTTTTATTGACTTTTGACCTAGTTTGACCCTAGGGACATTTTGGGTATTTGTTGTGAAGCCTAAGGTTGGATCTTTCCATATGTATAGGTGATTTGTAGAGTGGACTCACAGAGCAATATTCTTTTTCTGCTATCTTTTCGGATTTGCGATGTGAGTTTTCGTTACTATAATATCGGGTCGAATGCACCAAGGCCGGCCCCTTTGGATTATTATAATGGCTTATCGTATGTTTGTATTAGGATATCTCGAGTTAAGGTACATCTTAAAACCCTTGATCTTTTGAGTATTTACCCATTTTAGCCCCTTTATGAGAAAAGGTGGTAAATGAGTACGCGAGGCGTACGAAAGTGTACGCTCAGCGTACTCATGTGTGTGCATTTGATGCAGAAGCCACCTAGTACGCTGGGCGTACCAAAGGGTACGATGGGGGTACTAGGCCCAGAGTGAAAACCCTAATTTAGTGCCTTCGACCCATGAAAACAGTATGGTCTAGAAGATAACTGAACTGATCACAGATCTAATAACCGGCTCTACGGGTCACATATACAACAAACATGGTTAAAGTCTCAATCTATAACCCAAAATCCTCATTTTGACCCAAATTCAAACTTGGTCAAAGTTAACGGTCAACGTTTTTAAAGTCAATGATCAACTTTAGTCGACATACGCTCAACGTAGTAGCTCTACGCCCAACGTAGAGTTTAAGGTGTTAAAAACGAGTGAAATCAGGGCTATGCCCAACGTAAGGAAGATTACGTCCAACGTAGCCATATGATGCCCAAACTTAATTATTAAGTCCTTCAAACAAACCAACGACCTTTCCTATTTTTAGATCTATACCATATGGATGTCTTAGTGGATAAAGTATCCATATTTATTTATTTACATGGTCACAAGGAGCTCAAATCCTAAATCTAGGTCCTTCAAGTCATCTATTGGTCAAGAACACATGCATGGATATATGAGAGTGACCAAGCTCTCATTTTTATGACTTAACAACCCTAAGAACATATGGAAATGATACACAAATGGTCTGGAATAGCTCATAGTCATAAAAACCAAGGTTTTGGGGACAGAAGCATGGAATACAGAAGAATAACTAGATCTAACACAAAACATCATTAAGCTAGAAACTTTATACCTCATGGAGATGGATAGGTGGATGCAACTTTTGGATCTACACTAATTTGAGCTCCCAAGTGGTTCCACAATACTCTTCTTCTTTCAAAAGTGAACACAGAACACCCCAAAGGCTCAAAACTCATAAATGGTAATTAGGGGTTTCAAGGAGGTCGTTTGGGAGGGTGGAGGCTAAGAATGGAAAAGGCCTCAAGGGGTTAAAGCCTTTAAATAGGGCTCAAAACTCCAAGATTAGGGTTTTGGTTCTGAGCTGCTATACCTTGCATAACTCAACCTACGCACGACGTAGGTCATTTAAGTCCCATGTCCAAACTCCCTCCTACGCTCAACATAGGAGACTATCCAACGCCCAGCGTAGGGTGGATTTTCTTGGAATATAACCTTTAATTAAAAGATAACCATACCTTCAAAGATCAGGTGTTATAGTTCTCCCTTACTTGAACTAGATTTCGTCATCGAAATCCTTGGTTGTAAATAAGTCTGGATAATGCTCACGCATCTCCGCCTTGGGCTCCCAGGTCCACTCAGAATCCAAAATAACCACCAACATCTGCACATAACTCAGACGTTCATCGAATTGAATGTCATATAAAGGAACCACTACTGAATCATCAACCACACACTTCCGAAGCTAAAAAACAAGGAAGGTGTTGTGAATCCGACTAAGCTCCTCAGTTAGATCCAATCGGTAGGCCACTTTACCTACTTTCTTTTATGAAATTTTTTGTCAAGATAAACACGGTTATTTTTATTAAAAAAACAATGTTCACTTTCTTTTATGAAAAAAAATTGTTTGCTTTATCTTTCCATTAAAACCGTGCATTAGCATTTATGTTCATACAATTTTATTTAGAAAAAGTGTTGGCCATTTTTTCCAAATAAACAGAGGAAACAAAAAATATTCAATTAAACCATTCTATTTTGTATTATATTGTACTTTATATGTTTTTTGACACATAATTTGTCATTAATGTAGTTTAACATATAATTTGTCAATTTTGTATAATGTGGAAATTAAAACCTTTTAGTTTAAACCCATTTCAACAATACTTAAAATATATTGGTAGCAGACAACAACGATTGAATACCAAATGTTGAGTCATGCCTATCACTTCCATGAGATGCCAATGAATGCTACATTTAAGTCTCGTAGTAAAAGTGTAAAAGAATAATTAAACAATAAGTAACACAACTAGTTCACAATAGGAAACTTACCAGGCATTAATAGACGATTAGTGATGAAGAAGGAGCGAATCTTTGTCTCGATGAAGAAGCAACGACGAACAGCAATGAAGCAACAATGAATTGCAAGCACCGCATCGTAGAAAAAATAGAAGAAGCATCAGAAGATTATCTATCTTCACGGAGATAACCATAAAATTAGGGATTCTTCTCTGTCTGTACAACATCAATTAAACTAAAGGGTAAAAAGATCTAAATAAACATTTATTTTTTAAGTGGATGGATAAAATTACGAAATGAAAATATCAGGATCCATTTGAATTTCATGAACAACGTTTTTTTTATGCTTATATTCTATTGATTTTCGGGATTTTTAAATTTTATTTTTGTTTGTTTAATTGTTATACTAAAGTTTGAGTTTTTATTAACCGTATTGCATATAATAATGATTTATTTTTGGATATACAAAACAAAACAAAACGATTACAAATTTACAAGTATTAATTTGTTTTAATATATAATATGTATTACATCGTTTATATATATATATATATATATATATATATATATATATATATATATATATATATATATATATATATATAAATAAAAGAACTTTGAATTTATAAGAAAAATAATGAATTATTATAATGAAAATGTTTTTTATCTTTTAAATTTAAATAAAGAAAAAAACTAATTAACTTTAATTTTAAGAATTTGAAATTAAAATGTAAACTTATTAGTATCATGTGAAATTTAATAAAATAGAAAAAAACATAAAATGATATGTGGAAAAAAATTCAAAATAACCATAAATGACATTTTACAAATTGAATGAAAGTGTGATAAGATGTATTTAAAAAAAAAAAAAAAAAAAAAAAAAAAAAAAAAAAACTTTTATTTATTAAAGATGATTATTTTAGGAAGCATAGTTATTTATATTATGTCATCCGGATACAAAATGATTTCAATGTTATAATTTGATAAAGTTTATCAGACTTCAATAATACATCATCACTTCCATTTATGATCTTCAATTACATTATGTTTATTTATGTTGTCTAAAAATTAATTAAGACCAGTCATATATTACAAGGAATAAAGTCGTGAACATTTTGGTAGTTCGCTCCTAATTAACCTTCAACTGAAAAACAACTCAAATGATGAGACTTTTGAGATGAAGACAACTAGTATCAGATAAATTAAGTATACACAAGGCAGTTGATCGACACACTAACATAAACAAAAAGATTTCATAAATAGAATGAAATGAATTTCATAATAATTTATGTTTAATAAAAAAAAATAGTTGCAGTTTGTATTCTGTAATCCTAGGAGTATGAGAAATAACATGTAATCACAAAAAAAAAAAAAAAAAAAAAAAAAAAAAAAAAAAAAAAGTTGCCTATTGGTTCCAATACACATACACACTTGAGCCGAAGCATATCTATAATAAGCACCAACAATAAAGATATACCAATTACTTTTTCCTTAACATGTTAATCTCTAAAATCAAACCACTTATAACCAAAATTCCAAGAACGACTCCATAACCAGCATTCCATGAGCTTCCTGCTTTAGCTAAATGGATCCCATAGAAAATATTCACAATCGCAAAAAATATCATTAGTCTCCCTACACTGGAGTGATACCAGTTCCAGTATGTTCTTGTTTTTGCCTCTACAGCAGGACGAGCCAAGAAAGCTAGTACCTGTAATTAAAAAAAAAAAAAAAAAAACATAAATTATACTTCTACAATCTTATATATTTCTTATCTTAATTCTGAAAACATTCAAATTCAAGTATTTTCTGATACTGTTCAAAGTATAAATGCATTGAGACAATAGAAAAAAAGATAACAATGTAGAAACCTGAAGGCAACCAAATGCAAGAATCGTTATGCCAAGTCCTTTGTGCTTGTTAACATTGGCATCAATACGATCATCTAAAACAAGTCCCGCAATCACACCAGATAATCCAAAAATAAACCCTAATGATTGAATACCCGAATGCACATAAAAACCATAAAGGATTCATATGCTTCAGATAACGAGCAACCATGGCGCCAATAGGGAGCAATATGCCCCACCCCAGCATGTTCAAGGTTCCATGAGCCCTCTTTAAGTTCGAGTAAGGGGCCTTGATTCGACTACCTTCACCTATATCATCATAAATAAATAAATAATTATCAAAAATATTTAAAAAAAAACAAAATCTATTATGTTTAGTTATATTAGTATTATGATTGTATACTATGCATCGAAGATTGTACAATGCACTATATTTATCTTAAAAATGGATGCATAGACAATGTGAAACCATTGCACGTCATGAGTATTGGCAAGGACTAAATGCAATATATGATAAAATATCATTTATTTGTGTATTATATGATTATATTTTTATTTATGTATATTATAATATTATATTCATTTCTTTTTTTTTTTTTAAATCTTGTACTTTGAAAGACATATCCGGTTATAATGTTGTATTTAGTTTTTTTGTTCTTATTGATTTGGATATCATTATTATAACTATTGAGTTTTTTTTTTTTTTTTAATATACAGTACTATAATTATAGAAATTAAATAAATATTATAATAAGTAAATGAATAAAAATATATTGCTATTTTTGCATTGAATATTAACCATAAGATAGAGTAAGCTATTGACATCCAATTCTTTCTTTAGTCCAAAAAAAGGCCCAATATAAGAAGTTAAACAAGTAGTTGTCGTTTGTCAATGGGCATTAGACCCCTTCAAAGTCAAATCTTGTGGCAAATATTCTAAGCAACTATCAACAACACAACCACCTCAGACTCTAGAGGATGCTGATCAAACAACTTAAAATTTGACGTCCTAAACCTAAAGATTAAATTCCTATTCGTTTTTTTTTTTTTTTTCATAAAGTTAGATTGATTGAAAATTTGCATATGAATGTTACATTTATTTTTAGTGAATCTTAAAAACTATTAATAATTATTTTGTAAAGCACTTACCTGAGGCATAATTCAAACGGATGGCTGCATGGTTTCTATGTTGAGTCAAGCGAAAGCTCGGTGTATTTGGAGGGGGATTGCTGTTATCCCCAACAGAATACACAAGTTGTCGCCTTGGTTCGTCTATAGCCAACTGAAACGCCATATATATTCGAGAAGTATCTGAAAGAATTGTAGATGTGTTTCCAAGAATCTCTAGGTCTCCCTGATCAACCAACACTTGGCTCGGGGTTTGACCACCAAGGAGGTATTTTTTCATGTTGCCTGAGCCATCGCTAGCCACCCACCCTACAACGGCACTGGACCCCACCATAGCACCGTTGGGTGAAAACCCCATTCCAATGTAAGAATTCGATATTGGAGCCGATAAGACAAAACTCCACAAACTTGGGCCAGCTTGTGAATACTGTGAATTATAAAACATAAATTTTCATCGATCGACGTATAGTTATATCACATATGTTATATTTTTTGCGCAAACAAGAAAGAATCCATATGCCTTTTACAACAATTATAAACTTATGTAGTAACATATTATTAAAGAGTAAAAAAAACTATTTAAGATCATGATCGTTTAAAGTGATTGGTTTTTGTAACCATTGTATATGCTTTTGGTTTTAGAAGACCCTGGATTCTTTTTTTTTTTTTTTTTTTTTTTTTTTTTTTTTTTGTTGATTAAAAAAAATACCGAAATATGTTTTTCGAATACATGACCTTCAAGTAAATTCTTGAAAAATACTAAGAATCCCATACCATTTAAAACCCAAGAACTCCTTAAGACATATGAAAAACACAGCCATTTGATCAACACGTTGAAGAACAAAAAATGATCATTCAAGATCATAATCAATAGTAAAGCATTACACAATCAAAACACACAAGTCATTGATGAAGAGACTTACTCTAAGGATGAAATTTTCCGAAGACCAAACAGCAAGACAATTGAGAGAAGAAGTTTCAAACAAGATCTGGCTACTGAGACTACCAAAATTTGAGTTTGAATCACATGAATCTTGGGTTTGTCCATGAACCATATGCAGTGAAAGATGATTACTTGCTAAAATCAATAAAAATGGAAGATTAATGAGTAATTTCATCATGGGTTTTTTCTTGATCATCTTTTTTTTTTCTCTCCAAATTATGAAATGACGATGAGGATGATGATAATGATTTAAAAGAAGATGCAGGCAAGTGGGTGATGAACATGTTTGAATATATGTATCTTTGATGGTATATGAGTGGGAAGAAGTAGGGTTGACTTGGTTTAATTATTTGTTCTATGTAACTGTTCAATTTATTTAATTCTCCATTATTCTAAAATAAAATATTCCTTAAATAAGAATAAAATAAAGAACTTTTTTTAGTCTTATAAGGTTTTACCCAGATCATTAAAAATTTAAAATCAAGAGGGTGCGACTGCAACTGCCAACTCCTTATCGGCCGGTCACCATGGCTTTTATAGGTAACTAGTGCTTAAGCTTTTATTTTAGGATCATTTAAGAGTTTTGAGTTCCGATTAAAAAAAACTATAAAATTGCAATTCAAGACAGTCAACTAAAATCAAAACTTTTATATAATTATACAATTATAATAATTGTATAACATAAAGTGGTAGGATGGACGGCTACATAATTAAATTCATGATGTACTAAAAGTTTAAATGTATTAATGATTAGAAGTAACAAGCGCAAATACGGCTAAATAATTGTTTTTACTTTTTATGCATCAATGGGGTTGTACAATATTATTAATCAACTGTACCATAGGATCATTGTTAGAAACTGGTATGTAAAAACATAAAAGGAGGGCATTAAATCATAAAAAGAAGGCATTAAAGGAGGACATAGAAATCACTATCTTTAATGAAATTAGCCCATCCACAACATATTTATCATTTCATATTATATATAATTCTATTAATTTTTTTCTATAACGTATTAAACTCTATAAAGTTCAATAAAACATTAACAAAACTAATTTATAATATTTGTTTAAGTTTTAAAATACATTCATTTTTCTCATTGAGCTTGCAATCTCTTGAATGTCAATATAACATCTTATAATAATAGAGTTTCATTCATCAAATGACAACTACACTTGTCATATTATTCAACTCTCTTATTAAACTCATCATCCAACTCTCTTATTAAACTTATCATGCTCTTACAGAATAATTGATATCATTTATTCTCTAGTTTAAAGGATGCAGGTAACGATCCCACAACCCATACTTATGAACACAATATGTTGTATGTTAATGTGATAGTATTGAAGATTTATCTGGTGTGATTAACAAAAAGAACTAAAATAAAACACTTGTATTTATAGACATCCACCATATGGTACTTTTGAACAAAGGCAAATTAACAAACAGTTATTCGATTAAAAATATGTTAATAATTTAGCAAAACGAGTAAAATGATAGCGAAATTTTTAATTAATTCTCAGATACAAGGTCATCAGGTATGGGGACATGTCAAGCAGTTCTATCTCACTGCCATCTCCTTCCACACCATTGTTGGTATACTGACAGAAGAAAAAGTTAATTAGTTGTGGTCTTTCGTGGTATACACCACATGAGGCCATGATCATAGCTCCAGGTCATCAGCACGAGATCTTCAGGGTGTTAGTGCACAGTCATTGCCACCTTCAGCTCACCACCACTAGACTCTCATGTCATGTATACCTCATGACCCAATTGTCCGTAATGATGCAGGTTATGCTCATAAACAATAACTGTATTTTATTATATTTACCAAATTAAACTTATTTGTATTGATTTTAACTTGTTAATGTAAATAGCAACAAGATAAAAATTAAAAACATGATCAAATATTCAAATATAATTACTATAAAAATATAAACATGTAATAGACAAATTTATAACTACAACATGTAACTTAACAAAACAATACAAATTTAGTAATCATATCTATAGTCACTAATTTCATCATTGTGATCATGCTTAACTTTCACGATTAATAAAAAATTCAGAATTTTCTGTATGTTTTTTTCTCATGAAAATAAAGAAATAAAAAAAAATTCCATTAGTGAAGTAATAAAAAAAAATCCATTACTGAAGTCTCTGGCTACATCAGTTCCTTGCTCTGAAAACATTATAATTTTTCTCCCATAAAAATAAAAAGATGCAATTTATGATTTCTTTTTGCTAGAATATTATGCGATGAAAACAATGCATATATTCAATACTATATTTGTTTGTTTTGTGTTTTTGTTAGTATATGTTGCAAATGTTGACGGCAACCATTGATGAATGGAATAAGATACCATGAAAGTTAACATGGAATCAACCTTTTTGCCCGTCCATGCCGTTTATGAGTCACATGTTTATAACTTTATATTATACCAACCGATAAAATTGGACAAAGTTGTTAAGGAGTTAAGATGGGTGATCTTTGATGCCACATGTTGAAATGATATTCATTTTTCTTTTCAAAAAGAAATATGCAAACCATTCGAATAAAAGCATTCTTGATTTTTTTTTTTTTTTTTTTCCAATTTCTGAACTTGTTATAGAGAAGAACTCAAATAAGTTTCAAATCACATTAACCCAAACGAAATGATAGTTTAATCATTTTCTTATTCATTTTTAATTCGAATACAGACAACCATTTAAATAACATCAATTGTTATGCATTTTCAAGACCATCGTACTAATAAACAATCGTTCTTATGAAAAATGCAAAAAGGAAACCATGATATATATATATATATATATATATATATATATATATATATATATATATATATATATATATATATATATATATATATATATATATATATATATATTTGATCTCAATAGTTTTTGCTAAAACCTTACATTCATGTGAAACCCTAGTTCTATCACAACTTATTTCCGGAAAAAGAAAAAAAAATCCACACGTTGTTCACTGTTTGGATAAAACCGAATTGTCTAATTGGATAATTTCGATCGGACTATTTGGTTCAGATATTTAGATTTTTGGATTGATTTCAGCAAAACCGAATTATTATCCTGAATTTCAGATTGATTTTGGTTTATAAACTAAGGACCGAATAGTCCAAAAAAACCGAATAACAACTTATTATCTATTTTTCATATATATCTTTAACTATTTATAAATTTACTAAATTATTATTTTTAGTTATTATAAATTTTCATCGAATATAATACGTTAAAATTACTTATTATCAAAAGTTTTTGTCAATGAAATATTAGTTATAATATATTTTTTTAGTATTTGTTTATAAATTATAATTTATAAAAAAAATTAGTTTCTTTATAGATTTTTCTAATATTCAAGTTATATATTTTTCAAAATGTCTTGCCTCTTGAAAACCGAATTGTAATTTGGTTGAATCGGATCGGATTTAAATTAATTTGGACTATTTTGATCAATGTTTTGAAAACCAAAATCTATTCGGATTCACTTGATTGAATCGGATCAAACCGATCCATCCAAACAAACACCACCCCTACACGTGGTAACCAAAATCAAGAGGCAATATGTTTCAACCTTGTTGCCCATAATCCTTGAGAAGTCAATAGGGTTTACATTGTAGTCAGAGACATGCATTGCCAAAAAAAACTTTTGTATACGTTGTATAATTAGTAATATATATATATATATATATATATATATATATATATATATATATATATATATATATATATATATATATATATATTAATGCTTTCTTAATTAATGCAATATATCTCGTAGTTGTGATTTTCCATCAACATAACGTCTTATATCAGATTTTATTTAGCATTAGGTTTTTTCTCGTCCAATTGTGGCTAATTAAACACACCAGGTCCAAGTCCAAGTCCATCGCCATATACACCATAAAAACAAGAAGAAAAAATAAATAAACCGAATCGACAAGAATTAAATCCAAAATTCCCCAGCATAATATTAATACGTTATGGAAACTTCAATGTAAGTTAATTATTTTAGACTTAGGTTTGTTCCTGAAATTCTATTCTTCAGAACAGCAAAATCCAATACGAAATTAAACTAGAAACTGTAGTGAATCACACTACTCATATGAATGCATAATGATGACCTACCTACCTATGCAAGGCAAAACTCAAAAGAGTGGGTCCCAATCCCATTGGTATCGGTTTTCATCCTCCTGTAGAATAACACATATGCAGCATTCGACTTGACATCATCTTCAATGATGCCTGAAACATGGCTATCATCAAACCTGTACCACCTGTTCTGATTAATAAGCTGCATCCAATCCATCCCACAAAAGTCAAAAGTCAAAACAATAACAACGAATATTTAAACTTATTAAAACAAGTGTAATGTTAGTGAAGGAGCAAAAAACCTTGACATGTGCAGTATAGTGACCAGCTCCCATGTTGCCATAGTGATTGGCCAAGGCATAAAGTTGGTATACTTGAGGAGAACCATGACTGTTTTTGTTATTAGCAACGTATGTAGACAAGTCCAAGTCATGAAGAGGGAAGTCAACAAATGTTTCTAGTTTACTTCTTATGGTTGTGCTATACGAGAACCTTTTTAAATGGATCACTAGCACTTCTGGAAGCCTCCAAAGATCCAGTTTTTTAGTTGCTTGCCTTCTCTCTTTGCATCGAGGGCAGAACCACATGTCTTCAGGTACCAATGGTTCCTCGCGCAGGAAACCTTCTATGCAGCTATAAATACTCACTGCTGATTCTGAATCAATTGGTAATGACAGATACATGAATGGATCAAACGTAACAGACGTCTTATCACATGCAGGACAAATCAAAGTCGACTTGTATTGCCCCTGTACATCAAAATATAAAAATAAAATACTACTGTAAAACATTGTCATGATAAATGATTTAATTAAAATAATAATAATGAACTCACTTGGCAAACATCAACAATTATTGAATCATTGTGAGAGATGTGATTTGCCCAGTATTCATCAGCAACTTGTTCATCGGGTAGCCCATCGGTGTCTTTGGACTTGTTAGAAGGCTTCTGTTTGACCCGGTTCAGATCTTCATGGAGTCCATCCAGCAAAAAAGCAAGAAGTTCCTGACCCCACATAAAGATAGCAAACATATATATATATATATATATATATATATATATATATATATATATATATATATATATATATATAGAGAGAGAGAGAGAGAGAGAGAGAGACCTGAATTCATGAAAAGTCAACAAAGCAAAAACGAACCTGGGAATCATGCTGATTTCGTCCCCAAAATTGTGGTGCGAAACGGGAAAGTTTTGCTTTGAATGCCCGAGGAGCAAAAGCTGCCCGACCTGCTGCCCATAACTTCCTAACCAGCTCACCAAATGCCAATGCTAGCTCTCCCTACACGAGAGTCAAGTTTTTTTTTTAAATATTTTACCTTTGATTTTTTTTTTACGTTAAAAGTAAAAACAAGGCATTTTAATTTTACCTGCATGCCTAGAGGATTATCCCTGTTTATCTCTTGATGAAAATCTCCAAGGAAATAGCGAGCGAACTGTGGTGTATGAACAAGGCATTGTATAGCAGTGTTCATGAAGCAGGTGTTTCCCAAATTAAGCAATCCAATTAAACCAACACAAGAACCAGTCTTTATAGTGGCTGCCTTGTTTGTTAAACACAAGTTTGGGAATTGTGACATGTTTGAGTTGCAGCTTTTACTTTTAGACACACCATTGTCAATGTATGCACAACCATTCTTTTGAACAACACTTTTGCAACTGCCATTGTGACCAATGACTTCCACCAGAATCTGTATAATCATTTTCATATCAAGTCAAACAGTCATTTAATATTTGTAATTGCAAAGATACAAAAGCAACAAGAGAAAGTATATGCAAAATAGGTCCCCGTATATATATGAGTTGTGTAACACACTAATGGAAAAAGTAACTCACATCCTGATCCATTTGTATGTTGGCATCATCAAGCGTTGCATCTAGATCATTCAACAAAGCATGTTTGCAACGACCATAGAAATCCCAAATGTGTACCTAACAGAGTGCAAAAACAAAAAAAATATGAAAACAATTCCTAAAGATAATCAAATGGAGAAATATTCATATAAGACATCATTTACTTGATATGGAATAAGATGAAAAAATTCACAAGCCTTCTTGTGTAGTGCTCCAATTGTTTCCTTTCTGCTCATTTTTAAGGCATGATGGTCAACACTTGGCAGAAAATGCAGTTGAAGGCGTAAAGGATATACTTCAACAGTCAATTCTGTTTGTGAAGAACCACGGGTTATAACTTTTCGAGCCAATGCAGGACCTCCACCATACCTGCACCTCATAATACATTAAATAATTATGAAGAAGAAGAAGAAGGAGGTTATTCAGATTCATACTAACCATGCATAAAACTGATTCCAAATTTCTTCTGGGACCAAAATGTAATCAGTGCCTTCTACTAATGTATCATAGATCTCAGGAGTTGAATCCTCAGAAAATGATTTACAGATCAAATCAGAATTGTCAATGCTTGGGGGCCTTCTGCCTGAACCTTGATACTCCATAGATGATCCTTCGTTTGTAGTAATTGTTGGGCTTTGATTAACAAATGCAGACCAAAGTCGCCACCATCTGTAGGAAATCAGTGTAGATATGATTAACTTCTTCCAACTTACTATTTACTAATGAAATATCTGAGCAAACATATGTTGTGTGTATGTATAAGTCGGGAGTGTTCAAAAATTGAATGGCATATGTACACATATAACAAAGCATGTAGCTGAACTCTAACTTAATGCAATGGATACTTTTAGCAGATTGATCGCAAGAGTGGCCTCCCATTAATGTACTATAAAACTGATTCTTAATATAACAACCCCTTTAAGCAAGATCTAAATCTTAATTTCTTCTTAACATGAAATTTTTATGTTTCCTAATGCTACTAAATTGCTTATCTTACAAGTTATCAATGAAAGCGGATCTCCTAAAGTTCTAAAAATACAAATGATGTAAGTGTAACATACAAATCCTATAGATCTACCTAATATTAGATTTGATACCATACAACTTCATTATTGAAACCCCAACATCAAACTGAAACACATAAAACCCTGCAATTTTCTAGCACCAGAAAACTGGATGCTAAGACCCTTAATTCTAACCGAAAAGGATCAGCAAATTCAATCATCTAAAACAAGTATGTATGTATGTAGTAAAAAGATATAGGATCCGCTAGACATATACAAAAACCCTAATTTTTTTTTAAACAACTACATTCTTCCGGAAAAGGATTTTAACATATCCGATTGCAATTAACATCATAAATGTTACCAAAGACGCAAGATTCACAAGAGACGTATATACAATGCGATTACCTACCTCAGAGAAAGTAGAAAGAAGGTATCTCCTTCTTTGGCTTCAGCTTCACCATTCCTTGCAAAGCCTGATATGACTTGTTTTTCTTCCTCCGGGGACAGATCCGTCAAGTTACCATTTGCTGTTGAAATCTTTGCCATGCTTCACTCCCTGAAACGCAAAATTCAACCAAGATTTTTGAGCCAATGTCGAAGAGGAGCGTCTCTTAAAGGGTGTAAGTACAGCTTTGAAGAGACAGAGGCTTAATTTATACCCCGAACGGGGACAGAGGCTTTCTTAGTTGGAAAATAATAATCACCAAAAAACAGTCCACATTCACTGTTGGGTTAAATTTGCATAATTCAGATTTGTTTTTAACCTTAATATTGTTCTGGTTTCAAAACTATCCTTTCCTTTCTCCCACAAAATTCCATTTTATTTTAGCTCTCTTACGATAGCCACATTAAACTTTCAGAGTCAGTGCTACAAATCAATATAACAGATTGATAAAGTTCTTGCATCTGGTTAAGAAATGGTTGTGGTATCAAACCATTAAACTTAAGAGCCCAGATTTCTCTTGCATTTGGTTAAGAAATAGCAAGTTCATCTACAACTCCCAATTATAGAGAAGGACTATGAACTAACCTACATCAACATAAAATCAAACCAGACAAACGCCCCAATTTCTCTTGCAGCAACCACACAACTTGATACTGAAACCCTAATCTTCCAAAACATCTAAATTCAACCAAAAAAGGATCAGCAAATTCAATCATTAAAAAATATATACATGGGTACTACTCCCTCCTTGTCACAAGCATTAAATTTGCAATAGTAATGACTACAAACTTCTCTAATTCGCTAATTAAAATTTCTTAATTGCACATTGTCATCGTTGATATGATCATTACAGATTCCTTATTTTGTCATCATGTGATCTAATGATATTCAAACGATTTTACTAAACTGAGCGCAGTGTATGAACGATGAAGCAATAGATATTACACGATTTATGAGAGATCATTATCCTTATTACCTTTGAGTGATTAGACAAAATGTATCTCCTTCCTTAGTTTGAGCTTCGCCGGCCATTGCAATGTCTCTCATCATCTGTCTTTCTTCCTCCGGCGACAGCTCCGGTGAACGAACACCGACCATCAAAACCTCCACCATAGCTTCTTCAGATCTTCAGAGTAGAAAATACATGAGGTTTTATCATAATCTGGAGTCGGTGAAACCGAAAGCTATGCTCCTCACAACTTCCCCTGCCATGCGGTTTTCAGATTGCTGTCACTAGGTATGACGCCACCAAGAGGCATCCCTACCACCCCCCCAAAATTTTGAGGCTTCATAAACATATACCAACATTTTTGTATAATCGATGAGAACTCCCTTGGATTTTTTATTTTTTTTAATTATTTTCGTGGATCATTGACTATTTTTAAAGCTTATTTTAAATCAATAAAAAAAAAACTATCGTTAAAAATATTTTTTTAATTTACCTGACATGTGTCATTATATAACAAAAAAAAAATCGATTGTTTCGGCTTTTGGACATCCTAATCTAGAGTTCGGAGAGAAAGGAAAAAAAAAAAAGTTGTAAAATAGAATAAGAAAAGAAAGAAAGGATACATTTATAACATCAACATATAAAATATAAATCTAAACTTAACCTTATTTTGGTTTGGGTTGTATTGGGTTGAAGTTGGACAGAGAAGAAACATTGAATCAACTTGATTCGATCCTAGAATATAATTTACTTTACAGAGTCCGAGAATCCTTCCTTTGACAATTGACACAAACTACACACATATTTACATACATCTAATAAGTAGAAAAGGACTCTACACAAGACATTTCGACAAATAACTCAAAACACAGCATGCATGATGCATCATCACATCATCATCTCCAGATTTGAGGTGAAAAAGCAGCTGCTGCACCTGATGACAGTAGTCAAAAGAAGCCAAGAAAGATCCAGGAAGCAAAAGTGGATTCAAGATTTTTTCTGCAAAGATGCATGGGGAAGCATGGAGTTGGTGAGTTCCTCATTAATCTTCACAGGTAGCGGTGGCATCTGCTTCATTATCTCTGGCATGTCGTTTAAGCTGCAATTTTATACATACAAATATTTTTTAAACACAATTTATCCAAACAACACTTAAAGACAACATATTTTATCTGTTAATAACAACAGTTCAAATAACATACTCGTTCAAGATTGCAACAATGTTATTTCGGGCCTGGCAGAAGAGATTTATGTTCTCGTGCACCTGTCATGAGAGAGGGTCAGGGTACAACATCATAATCAACCCATCCTATTCCTAGGAGGGGGAGGGGTAATTTAGACAATTCACTCGATAAGCTAGCTTCGTTGCATTATCATCAATGTTCAAAATTCAAAATGGAGAAATATTTACCTTGAAAGCAGCAAAATTTGCAGAAATTTGATCCAAGGCCTGAGCATTTTGCTCAAGAAGTTGGCCAGCTGTACCCCCAATGGCTGCAGACAAACTATTTCAGTCAGAGAAAAACACCCAACAGATATGTATGTATATAAAACAAAACTCTTTGCTTAAATTGTAAGACAGGCTTTACATAAATTACAATACATCTTTATTTTGTCGTCATTAAGTCAAAAAGAAACTGCACTTTGTAACAGATACATACGGATAGAGATCACTTAGAAAAACTAGATGGATATGTCTGAAGAAGTTAATTAATAATAATATTGACATTTAGTTTGTTATTTATAATTAAGAATGACTTGAGAGTAGAATGCAGCAACCTTTGTAAGAGATACCATCATCACTGTCCATAGAAACTGCTGATTGGGCATACGGAGGGCCATTAGGACGGTTTGTAGTATGAGAGGATGACTTTACCAAATTCTCTGTTACTTTTTCCTAAAACATACAAACACAAACACAAAAACAATAATTAATAATAATTACACCTGGCACTTCTATCTTTACTTTAATGAATCATGCAATAAACAAATCTTAACTATATATATATACTATATACATAAAATAAGGATGTAAACTCAAATAAACAAGATCAAACAATAAAAATCATCATTAGCACCATAAACAAAATGGATGAGTCACAAACCCATAAAATATACCTTTTTATCTTTATTTTTCCTTGACGAATTATTATCCTCTTTTCTTCTCTTGCCATTTTCCTTTTTCTGAAAAAAAAAACAAAACAAAACAAAACAAAACAGATAAGCAAGAGTTGATGTAGTCAATAAAGCAATGTATAATAACCAAGACAATGGAACATGGCCTCTATTTCGTACTATTCTTATGCCTTGAAGATTAAAAAACTATTACATATGATTCAGTATTTATGATGCATAAAGGATTTATGCTACCATTTAACTAAGTTATCTGTGTTTCTTTTTTAGCATACACAACTACTTTGGAATAATCTTTAAATGCCAAACGAGTGTCCTCAATCATAAGTTGATGATAACCAAAAGTATATTGTGATTCCTTTAGCCATTAAGTACAAAACATAATTGAACGACAATATTGGATAGTATGTATGAAATACATTTGAAAGAAAAAGAAAACCCCAATTATGCAGGTGGTTAGGACTTGCTTGCTCAAATTCAAATCTGAATTTTTTTTTTTAATTATTGAAGAAAAGAGAGTTGTAGAAAAAATCCACAGAATTAATCATACCGACATCCATCTACAACGAAGCGCCACATCCCGGACTGTTTTATCTTGTAACTTCTTTGCTATCTTTGCATAACGCAATAAACTACTATCTGAGGCATATCTGCAAAACTCACATACAATATGAATGTTTGTAACAAATGAAAATAACAATATATTCCTTCTTTCTAGCGTTTATGTTTTTCTTCCGTATAATCAAAATTTTCAAGCCTAAGGTAAATCTTGGTGATTAAAGAGCAGAGAAATCATTATATGACAGTAAGATCAACGGTTTTTTCTGCTTTAAGTCAGAAAGTAACATTGAATACAGCTTGCAGGATTAAGTCAGGTACTGTTAAGCCTATTAAGTCAAGATGTGACTGCATAGTATTCATAAATCTAGGTTTGTTGAACTCTACGTAGGAGCTATGGGGGTGTGGTTGAGTTCTTTGGGTGAGGGGACCCTGACAATCTAATAATTTCCTCCAAGATTCATCAGAATTATCGAAACATAATAACATCGCTTGAACCAAATTTTAGAAACAAAGCATGCAAATCCCAAGACCCTACAAATCTCAAAGCAATCATCAAGTCGCCAGGCAAAACCAGACAATTCGAGATCTAACACGATAAACAAAGCAACAACGAATATCCCCAACTGATAATCACACGAAAAAACAGAAAACCCCCAAAAATTATCATACCATCAAAGCATATGAACCATAATTAACCCCTGAAATCTCCAATTCTAGCAACGATTAACATAATAAAGAATTACATACTTAGTGAGCAGCTCTTCCAAAAGGGACTGTTCATCCGGAGCCCATTCAACCGCGAGACCAGGGTTATGCCTTAAAGCAGATTGAGTAGGACCCACCACCGAATTCTCCTGCACGGCGGCGCCACCACCGCTGTTATTGGCGGTGGTGGCGCCATTTCCATTGCTGGTTGACCCGTTGTTGTTTGCGGAAGGGTTTGCACTCGCCGCCATCAATATTCAATAAAAACACAATCTTTCTGGACTACTTTCAAATAAGTCGATTGAGAAATACTAAAAGGATTATCCGTTTGGTTTGTCGGGTGAATATAAAATTGAGATGGGGAACAAGTAGTTGACGAGAAAGGAAAGCCGATTTAAAGTTCCGATTTGTTTATAGGAAGAGGGTCAGACTTCAGAGAAAGGCAACGAGGGGAGGCGGATGAGAGAGAGAATCGGTAGTCAGTACGGATATGTTGAGTAAAGATCCTTTTGCCGATCCACGAGCAATTTGACCCATCTTGGGCGGTGGTGGGATCAATTTCACCCATCTTTTCAAGGGCTATATGTACAGTAAAAAGACTACTGCTCTTACTTCTTACATCTTTACAACTCGGGGGAAACTGTAACACCAGTCGGACTCATTCATGCCATGCGTAAAACCAACCAACAATTATTATTTTGCTAACCCGTGAAGATGTTCGTACAAACCACGAATATGATGAAAATCGTTAAA